TGTGTGAGACTGACAGACTTACATCCAGTCAGACTTACATCCAGACTTACATCCAGTCTACTGTGAGACTGACGACTCATTCAGACTTACATCCAGTCTACTGTGAGACTGACGTCTCATTCAGACTTACATCCAGTCTACTGTGAGACTGACGACTCATTCAGACTTACATCCAGTCTACTGTGAGACTGACGACTCATTCAGACTTACATCCAGTCTACTGTGAGACTGACGACTCATTCAGACTTACATCCAGTCTACTGTGAGACTGACGACTCATTCAGACTTACATCCAGTCTACTGTGAGACTGACGTCTCATTCAGACTTACATCCAGTCTACTGTGAGACTGACGTCTCATTCAGACTTACATCCAGTCTACTGTGAGACTGACCCCTCATTCAGCAAAAACCTTACATATGTGGCATGAGGCCTATCAAGCGGGTAGATACGGATCGATGGACATGCCAAAACCACATTCATTTATTGATTAATTTCCCAAGGTGAGATTTTAACATAATGGATACCGTAATAATTGGCATTGTCTCAGCGATGTTCATTCTGAACGCAACATGAACCGTGTCGTTAATGGACACGGACTGTAGACGGTCACGTATGGTGGTTTACTGACGGTGTATTGTCAACATCTGATTGCTCCGATAAAAGATAATTTCCTGAGCTTAGCAGGGTTAAGCAATATCAAAATTATCAGAGCACACAGGTGTAATACCTTTTTCAACATGTGCTAACACACAGGTGTTACACCGATATCAACATGTGCTAACACACAGGTGTTACACCGATATCAACATGTGCTAACACACAGGTGTAATACCGTTTTCAACATGTGCTAACACACAGGTGTTACACCGATATTAACATGTGCTGACACACAGGTGTTACACCTATATCAACATGTGCTAACACACAGGTGTTACACCGATATCAACATGTGCTAACACACAGGTGTTACACCAAGATCAACATGTGTTAACACACAAGTGTTACACCGATATCAACATGTGCTAACACACAGGTGTTACACCTATATCAACATGTGCTAACACACAGGTGTTACACCGATATAAACATGTGCTAACACACAGGTGTTACACCTATATCAACGTGTGCTAACACACATACCGATGCAATGTTTAATTCTTACACCCAGCTCATTAATTCATTTGAACACATGATAACATATACAAACTCGAGCAATAGAGTAGTGTATTTTTTTCTGAGGGCCAAGTATTCGACCGTATTTATGTTGCTCAAAATGCATGCGCAGTAGTCGATAAATTATTTATAAGCCTGGCTGTGGGTCGCTGTGCGGGACATGCACACCTCTTTCGTGCCAAAATAGAATAAATCATTATATTTGTAGAATAACACATGTAACTAGGGACATGAAATAATAGCAGTCTTCTCGACGTTGAGGAAGCACATGTATTATTCACAACGGATACAAAGTTTACAATAGATTGGTGGAAAAAATAAGGAAAGGATTCTCAGGATATGGGGCAATATGGAAAAAAAGACGGAATTAATTAAAAAAAATGAAGAGGTCATTAATTTCTATCAAACGTGCAAAATATTTTGGTGACGAGGCACGTCAGGTTTTAGAGTGATTGTTAGAAATCTAAGAGAAGAAGCGTAGAAATACAATGACAGGAAAACACAATGTAAAATCATAGTACTTGCAATAACATCCAACAACCTACTGGTAAAAATTTGTGGAACGGGATCACAATAATAAAAGAAAATTATTTAAGAGAAACATTTTACTCTTCCAAATATTATTCAATTAAAACAATTCAGGATATTTCTTTTCTTTTTTTATTCTTGAAAGAATTTGTCAGTAGAAACTGCAATTTGTCCAAGATAAATAAAAGTTCTTTGGGGTTCTATAAAAGCCATTTATGTATTTACAAGTAATTCAATGCTTGGGTAAACAGATTTACGATAAAACGACATCTCTGATTCGACATTATTAAGAATAACAGCAAGAAGCACGAGGAAAATGTTTGATGAACAACTAGACGATCCAGCAATAAAAATCTGTTCATATGGAGTTTTATGAAGTTTATGTCTATTACAGATGAGAAAGGCCTCTGTCTACTGCATACTAAATGACTGCAAGCTGAAGTATGATATAGTAGTACTTCTGTGAAAAGACTGGATAGTATTTTCATATGCAGCAAATGTAATAATATTTGCAGATAAAGGATAAAATTGTTGAATGCCGTATTTACAGGTGTAAGTTCTTTTATCACAACAATCAGTGTCGCCCTCATCAGACAGATCAACATTCATCGTTAATTCACCTGATGAAGTCGAGTGTAAAATCATCGAGACGTTGTGTATGAATGTCCTACTGTTTGAGATTTAAAAACTTGTTTCTTTATTTATGCTTACCAAACCTGATAAACAAGTTTATCAAGACTTGTCCCTTAATACCTGTAAAGATTAAAAAAAAGAAGGGTGTGTTGTTTCCACCACATGAGGGTATCAAAAGGTCAAAGGTCATAATGTCATGGCCACGTTTTGTTTATTGTTTTCGTTCCAAGCTACACAAATGAAACATGATATGCACATTTATAAACAACCTCATGGAGCAACATGATTAAATGTTGATAACACATATACAGACTTACCTGAAATTTTCAGTTTAAAGTTGCAAAATGTGTGTATATTCTCTGTACGTTTGAAGAACTTGTTCTTATGACTTTTGTAACTACCTTTAGCATCAAGATGTCTCTCATGTGGTCAGTTTGGACAAGCGAAATTGGTGCGAAAGGTCACGGCCATTATAGATTTCACTGACTAAATGTAGCACACTAAAAATTAGGAACTGGAAAGTCACTGGATCATAGATTTTATGCAGAGAATTGGGTAAATACACAAATGTTTATGCTGTACACTAAAATTTATGCTGGAATTTGCATTTTATGACTTCTTTAGGCTTATTAGAAAATTTCGTTATGTTAAGTCAATCAAGGCAGCGTGAACGTTTGTAATTATATCCTAGCTAGATCTCAAAAGAATTTCCGTATTTTGAATATCAAATGTTTATTTAAATGGTAAATTGAAGGTTTACGATTTCCATAATTATCTTCAAAAGCATCTTTTGAAATCCTAACTTGTAAATCAGGATACACATTTAAATTTTAAAACAATTCAGGTAGAAACACGTCGCCGTGTTGTAGATTAAAGACATGCTAATGCAGATATGGACAGGTCTATTAAATCAGATTTAACCGTGTAACATTAAAGTTTAATTTAAACTGATATTTATTCGAATTTTTTTCGTATTTCGAATTTTAATAAAGATCGTTTGATTAAGTTTTGGTTAATGATGATGAACAATATTTCCCTGTTGTGTTAAGTTTGCGATTGGGTTAACAATTGTCTCCATACTACGGTTCGCCCTCTCAATAATTATACACTTCATTTTAAAGGAACCATTCAATATGAATAGTATGATTTACCAAAAGACTTCCGTCTGGTAAATATTCGTATCGTGACTTCTCTGTATTGTAGTCTAGTATCTCCCGGTGTTTCGTCAAATTTGATAACTATAAAGATGCTTATAATACTAACACAGCCCGTGGAGACAAAGAATAAAGAAAGATGAGAGGATCAATTTCAGTTTGAAAGATTGGGACACACATTTATACGTTTCACCAACCTCATAGTAATAAAAACTCATTTATGTCCATCTATGATATTAACAATCTCGGATGGAAGTGTTATGGTGGAGAGTGTCATCGCAATGTTTCCTAAGTCCTTGGGAGAAATGATATTGAGACTTTCTCCTGAAGACCAGGATACAATTCACACATCTTTTCGATCATTGATACTAATATCCCTGAAAGGTTTGCGCATAGCAAAAATCGTCGTAAATAAGATGGAAATTGTTCTTTGCAGAGGAATAAATAAGAAAATAAGAACGACAAGGCCACCAAACTACCCTAAAAGCCTTTCTGTCTTCATTGGCTTCGTATATATTCATATAATTTAACTTACAACTTCTAACTTTTATTTCTATCAGTTTGGATTTTCCTCAGTTGCCTTCTATGCTTCAAAATTTAGGCATCACTGACATGTCCTAGGACATAAAACTTTAATGACGCAGTTTAATTCATTGTTTGGCTTTACTGAATCTAACTCTAAATTTGTATTAATAGCCGTTGTTCACCTGTGTGTCTTTTGTAAAATCTTTAAAAACAGTTATAGTACACATGGAATTTTTAACCCTAACCCTAATTCAAGACATGGGTATCATTATGATACTCAGTTCCGCTGTTGGCACGGTGATTACGAAGCTGTAGGGGACCTCATTAGTGAATACTCTTTGGATTTGTTAACAATTAAAACGAAATAGGTCTAACCAATTAAACAAGATAATTGCCGGAAACTTCAAATGGAAACAATATCTTGTGTGAAGCAAAAATCCATACCGTGTATGGATAATGAAAAATATTAGACTGGAATCGGTTCCAATTTGAACAGCTGTCTTCGGACACAATAACGATAACTTGAACACAGGTATTATGGATTTAACGAATCATTAACAGAGTTGTGTAAAGACGTGGTAGTATTTCATTTTCAAGCGTTCGGACGGAACATTCATTACGGGTTTGTAAAACAATTGATTGGTATCGAATTAAGTATTTTAGAAAGAGAAAGGAGAGAGGGAAAGACTGACAGTGATTACGAGAACGTTGAAAGTATAACAGCTACTGAACAGACGAAAGGCAGCACCATCGCAAAGCCAAACCGCGTGACGAAGCACGGAGTAAACGTCACATACAACCAAATCAAAACGGTTACAAGAAATATAAAAAACAAGAGAAAAAATCGGAACCGTTTACCGGGTGAAAGAGCAAATACTAAATCGGACATTGGACTATTTCAGAGGAAAAAGAATGAAATCCATCAGTGGGGAATTGCTTTCCTAAACGCGGATTATATTGACCAAGATTTCTTTAACATCTCACGATGTATTTGTTTACAACATTCGCACTTGTTACTTTGTCCATAACACCTGCTGTAGGGAATAATTCATCCATCGGCTCTCAGCTTTACAACAACCTTTTTCTAAACTACGAAAAAAATGTGCGGCCTGGAATAAATTATAGTTATCCTACCATTGTAAGTTGTGAATTCAGCTTTGCAGGATTGAACGAATTTAAGGAAATCGACAGTAAGATGTCAGTATTGGGAGTTTTTATAATACAATGGTATGAGGATCGTCTTGTATGGAACCCGGCTACTTATGGTGGGATTTCCGACATGTTAATTCCTGAGGAATCGGTATGGAAGCCCGATATAGCAATACCTAATGCATATCATGGCGTCAAATTTCTTTATTCGAGCAACCCTAAGGTCCGAGCAAAGAACAATGGCCATATAATCTGGGTAACAGGGGACAGATATGATCTCTACTGTAATGCAGACATAACTCACTACCCTTTTGATACACAAACTTGCGTATTAAGCATGCTCACGTGGAATTCATTTCCATCGGAGGTATTGCTTGATAAAGTTGAATCCATCTCGACCTTACGTAACTATACCTCGATCAACCCTTCCTGGGACGTCACAGAAATTAAAATGTATTCGAGAATTGATGAAACCCTTGTCTCTTCGACACTGATAATCGAGATAAAGGTTAAAAGATTACCGGAATACGTCATCGTCAACATGCTACTTCCGGTTTGTTTTCTCTGCGTCATCAACATATTCGTGTTTATTCTTCCTGCAGAGTCCGGGGAACGGATAGGTTTTTCTATAACTCTTCTCTTGTCCGTCGCTGTGTTTATGACGATTTTGTCAGACTCACTTCCGCAGTCATCAAGACCACAGATCGCTGTGTTGTGTTATTTTCTGTTTTCACAGCTTATCGTTAGTATTCTCATGATGGTTTTCACCATATTGGGTCTCCGGTTCTACTGGGCGGTGCCGGATAAACCCATTCCGGGTTACCTGAAATTGTTTTCAAGAATAATGAGTAACGTTTGCAAGGGAACCCAATATTGCAAGCGTAGAAAGAAAAGAAAACAGCTTGCTGCTGTTGGACCGGAACAAATACAAGACACAGTCGAGAAAGAATGCAACATCAAGAACTCCAAAGACATGAACCAGAGTCCTCTGGAAGATGAGTGCATGTTGATCACATGGCAAAAGATAGCAAGCGATTTCGACAATTTCTGCATCGTCTTATTTTTATTTCTCATCGTTTTAACAAATTCTGTATTCTGTATAAACATGTCCTCCAATACTCAGTAACGATTATGGTTTTCTTGACACCAACTTTTTTGTTTGTTTACTTATTTATTTCTATTTATTAATCGGGCTTAGCGGTCTTGATAATATATCTAAATTTTGAATATATAAAAAAGGGTGTTTTGTTTTGGTGTTTTAATTTGGTTAGAAATAAATAATTTTTCTATAATTTTGTTTCGCTGTTTTTGCCATCGTTGCTTTAGAAACTACTGTGCTTCAAATTGTGGTACAAGCATTTCGAGTGGACGAATATTACTCAACAAATGAGAAGAGATATGTAACGTTTGTTTATTGTCGTGGTTACACACGATATGTAACGTTGGTTTATTGTCGTGGTTACACACGATATGTAACGTTGGTTTATTGTCATGGTTACACACGATATGTAACGTTGGTTTATTGTCGTGGTTACACACGATATGTAACGTTGGTTTATTGTCGTGGTTACACACGATATGTAACGTTGGTTTATCGTCGTGGTTATACACGATATGTAATGTTGGTTAATTGTCGTGGTTTCACACGATATATGACGTTTGTTTATTGTCGTGATTATACACGATATGTAACGTTTGTTTATTGTCGTGATTATACACGATATGTAACGTTGGTTAATTGTCGTGGTTACACACGATATGTGACGTTTGTTTATTGTCGTGATTATACACGATATGTAACGTTTGTTTATTGTCGTGATTATACACGATATGTAACGTTGGTTAATTGTCGTGGTTACACACGATATGTAACGTTTGTTTATTGTCGTGGTTACACACGATATGTAACGTTTGTTTATGGTCGTGGTTACACACGATATGTAACGTTGGTTAATTGTCATGGTTACACACGATATGTGACGTTGGTTTATTGTCGTGGTTATACACGATATGTAACATTGATTAATTGTCATGGTTACACACGATATGTAACGTTGGTTGTCATGGTTACACACGATATGTAACGTTTGTTTATTGTCATGGTTACACACGATATGAAACGTTGGTTAATTGTCGTGGTTATACACGATGTGTAACGTTGGTTAATTGTCGTGGTTATACACGATATGTAACGTTGGTTAATTGTCATGGTTACACACGATATGTAACGTATGTTTATTGTCATGGTTACACACGATATGTAACGTTGGTTAATTGTCATGGTTACACACGATATGTAACGTTGGTTAATTGTCATGGTTACACACGATATGTAACGTTGGTTTATTGTCGTGGTTATACACGATATGTAACGTTGGTTAATTGTCGTGGTTACACACAATATGTAACGTTGGTTAATTGTCGTGGTTACACACGATATGTAACGTTTGTTTATTGTCGTGGTTATACACGATATGTGACGTTGGTTTATTGTCGTGGTTATACACGATATGTAACATTGATTAATTGTCATGGTTACACACGATATGTAACGTTTGTTTATTGTCATGGTTACACACGATATGAAACGTTGGTTAATTGTCGTGGTTATACACGATATGTAACGTTGGTTTATTGTCGTGGTTATACATGATATGTAACGTTGGTTAATTGTCATGGTTACACACGATATGTAACGTTGGTTAATTGTCATGGTTACACACGATATGTAACGTTGGTTAATTGTCATGGTTACACACGATATGTAACGTTGGTTTATTGTCGTGGTTATACACGATATGTAACGTTGGTTAATTGTCGTCGTTACACACGATATGTAACGTTGGTTAATTGTCGTGGTTACACACGATATGTAACGTTTGTTTATTGTCGTGGTTATACACGATATGTAACGTTTGTTTATTGTCATGGTTATACACGATATGTAACGTTTGTTTATTGTCATGGTTATACACGATATGTAACGTTGGTTTATTGTCATGGTTACACACGATATGTAACGTTGGTTAATTGTCGTGGTTACACACGATATGTAACGTTGGTTAATTGTCGTGGTTATACACGATATGTAACGTTGGTTGTCATGGTTATACACGATATGTAACGTTGGTTTATTGTCATGGTTACACATGATATTTAACGGTGCCTTATTGTCATGGTTACACACGATATGTAACGTTGGTTTATTGTCATGGTTGCACACGATATGTAACGTTGGTTTATTGTCATGGTTTACACAATAGGTAATATCAAAGTAATGTTATGGTTACGTATGGTACAGAACTGTGGTGTATTTTCATAAATTTAAGTTCACAAATACTGTATACATCGCTCGAGTCTGTGGAGTCAAAGACTTAAAAACCATGGGCAAAGAAGTCATTTAAAAATCAAAAGGTTATGAATCTGCTTTAATGATTTCGATGATAACCAACAATCTTAAAAAATATAAGTTTCCGCCAGTGCTGATACAGAAAATAAATAATAATTCTTATATTTACGTAAGTTGATAACAAGAATTTCAATAAAGAACAGTGTCAAGTTGATTGCATTGCCGTATTTTACAAGCCTCAGTAGGTGGCACCAAAGACAAAACTAGGTGTAAAAAAAAAATTACTAAAGGATTATTTTTTTTATTTTTTTACATATCACATACCATTATACCTAAATGTCTTGCTCATTTAAAGTTTTTGTATAATTATCATGAAATTGAAGGCTGTAAGCAAACATCCCACATTTACATACAGCAAAGGTACAAGTCTAATCATCACTGATGATAGTCGGAAAAATACAAATATTGTAGTTTGTTCGCTTCTAGAAACTATAAAACACACTTACAAATGTTTATCAAAATACAGTTCCACCACTACAAACGAATTGATGTGATAAAATAACTAAAACACAGAAGATTGTAGAATATAATCTTTAAATTACTGTAAACATAGGGATTTCAGTGGATATATTATTTTAGCACTCTTCAAGTTAAAAGTATTGCGCTAAGATATGAAACCACTAATATCATTTTCTGTATGGTGTTTATAGAGTAGTCATTATGGATGTCCAATTCATTAATCCAGTAATATCATTTTCGGTATAGTGTTTATATAATAGTAATTATGGATGTCCGAATTCATTAACCCAGTAATTTGCCAAAAAATGATGATGTCTAAGATTGTTGTTCCAAACTAAGCAGATTTAAAAGTATACATACTTATTACAAAACAATTATACTTAGTACATAAATATTATACTTAGTACATAAATATTATACTTAGTACATGAATATTGTACTCAGATTTTATCCATCATTTTGAAAAATAATAAACTTCATTTATTTAACAACAATTGCGAAACAAGTTTTTCCAACTTATATTAATCAGTTTTGTTGGTCTGGATGAAAGCGCGGTAGGGGTCTTATTGTGGGAGGAAACAGGAGTACCCGTGGAAAACCCACGCTTGGTGAAAGGCCAGTGCATAACCACTGTGCCACCTGACCACCTATCATTTTATGACTTATTTGTGTAAGAGAGTTCAATGGACGCTTTGACAATGTTTTAGCTGGTCGCCTGATGCCCTGTTTGGAATTCAATTCCAGGGAAAAAGTACAACTTCTTTCGTATGTCTTTCTGGATGACTCTAACTTCTCCAACATGGCCTCGGGTCCAATCTTGATTGCTCAAAACAGCATTGCTCAGCAACTCATTCACCTGCAAGTACCAAGGATAAAACTTCGTCATTTCTCAATTTCTTTACGACTACTCATTTGTCGATACTTTGATTTTACATAAACATAATTCTTATAATAAATTTATGCATGAAACCATGAATACATTTGAATTTAGTTTTAAATCTGAATTTTTTCTATATATAGAACTATTCTTCATTAAAGTTCAAGCCTTACATGTAACACCAATTTTTATTTCTTAATGTAAATTGCAATAATAAAACTTTTAATTGTAATGGTTAATTTTCACTGCATTGGTTAATGGTTAACTTTCACTGTAATGGTTAATGGTTAATTTTCACTATAATGGTTAATTTTCACTGTATTGGTTAATTTTCACTGTATTGGTTAATAGTTAATTTTCACTGTAATGGTTATTTTGCACTGTATTGGTTAATTTTCACTGTAATGGTTAATTTCCACTGTATTGGTTAATTTTCACTGTAATGGTTATTTTGCACTGTATTGGTTTATTTTCACTGTATTGGTTTATTTTCACTGTATTGGTTAATGGTTAATTTTCACTGTAATGGTTAATTTTCACTGTATTGGTTAATTTTCACTGTATTGGTTAATGGTTAATTTTCACTGTATTGGTTAATGGTTAATTTTCACTGTAATTGTTAATGGTTAATTTTCACTGTAATGGTTAATTTTCACTGTAATGGTTAATTTTCACTGTAATGGTTAATGGTTAATTTTCACTGTAATGGTTAATGGTTAATTTTCACTGTATTGGTTAATGGTTAATTTTCACTGTATTGGTTAATTTTCACTGTATTGATTAATTTTCACTGTAATGGTTAATTTTCACTGTATTGGTTTATTTTCACTGTAATGGTTAATGGTTAATTTTCACTGTAATGGTTAATTTTCACTGTATTGGTTAATTTTCACTGTAATGGTTAATTTTCACTGTATTGGTTAATTTTCACTGTATTGGTTAATTTTCACTGTATTGGTTAATGGTTAATTTTCACTGTATTGGTTAATTTTCACTGTAATGGTTAATGGTTAATTTTCACTGTATTGGTTAATGGTTAATTTTCACTGTAATGGTTAATTTTCACTGTAATGGTTAATTTTCACTGTATTGGTTAATTTTCACTGTAATGGTTAATGGTTAATTTTCACTGTATTGGTTAATTTTCACTGTAATGGTTAATTTTCACTGTATTGGTTAATTTTCACTGTAATGGTTATTTTGCACTGTATTGGTTAATTTTCACTGTATTGGTTAATGGTTAATTTTCACTGTAATGGTTAATGGTTAATTTGCACTGTATTGGTTAATTTTCACTGTATTGGTTAATTTTCACTGTATTGGTTAATGGTTAATTTTCACTGTAATGGTTAATGGTTAATTTTCACTGTAATGTTTAATGGTTAATTTTCACTGTAATGGTTAATGGTTAATTTTCACTGTAATGGTTAATGGTTAATTTTCACTGTAATGGTTAATTTTAACTTTAATGGTTAATTTTAAATGTAATGGTTAATGGTTAATTTTCACTGTAATGGTTAATGGTTAATTTTCACTGTAATGGTTAATGGTTAATTTTCACTGTAATGGTTAATGGTTAATTTTCACTGTAATGGTTAATGGTTAATTTTCACTGTAATGGTTAATGGTTAATTTTCACTGTAATGGTTAATGGTTAATTTTCACTGTAATGGTTAATGGTTAATTTTCACTGTATTGGTTAATGGTTAATTTTCACTGTATTGGTTAATTTTCACTGTAATGGTTAATTTTCACTGTATTGGTTAATGGTTAATTTTCACTGTAATGGTTAATGGTTAATTTTCACTGTAATGGTTAATTTTCACTGTAATGGTTAATTTTCACTGTAATGGTTAATGGTTAATTTTCACTGTAATGGTTAATGGTTAATTTTCACTGTAATGGTTAATTTTCACTGTAATGGTTAATGGTTAATTCTCACTGTATTGGTTAATGGTTAATTTTCACTGTAATGGTTAATGGTTAATTTTCACTGTAATGGTTAATGGTTAATTCTCACTGTATTGGTTAATGGTTAATTTTCACTGTAATGGTTAATGGTTAATTTTCACTGTAATGGTTAATGGTTAATTTTCACTGTAATGGTTAATGGTTAATTTTCACTGTATTGGTTAATGGTTAATTCTCACTGTTAATTCTCACTGTATTGGTTAATGGTTAATTTTCACTGTATTGGTTTATTTTCACTGTAATGGTTAATGGTTAATTTTCACTGTAATGGTTAATTTCCACTGTATTGGTTAATTTTCACTGTAATGGTAATTTTCACTGTAATGGTTAATTTTCACTGTATTGGTTAATTTTCACTGTAATGGTTAATGGTTAATTTTCACTGTAATGGTTAATGGTTAATTTTCACTGTAATGGTTAATTCTCACTGTATTGGTTAATGGTTAATTTTCACTGTAATGGTTAATGGTTAATTCTCACTGTATTGGTTAATGGTTAATTTTCACTGTAATGGTTAATGGTTAATTTTCACTGTAATGGTTAATTTTCACTGTAATGGTTAATTTTCACTGTATTGGTTAATTTTCACTGTAATGGTTAATTTTCACTGTAATGGTTAATGGTTAATTTTCACTGTAATGGTTAATTTTCACTGTAATGGTTAATTTTCACTGTAATTGTTAATGGTTAATTTTCACTGTAATGGTTAATTTTCACTGTATTGGTTAATTTTCACTGTATTGGTTAATGGTTAATTCTCACTGTATTGGTTAATGGTTAATTTTCACTGTAATGGTTAATGGTTAATTCTCACTGTATTGGTTAATGGTTAATTCTCACTGTATTGGTTAATGGTTAATTCTCACTGTATTGGTTAATGGTTAATTTTCACTATAATATTGATTTTTCCTGTGGTATGATGTTCCTTCCTTTGGTATGGTAATCTTTGACCAATTGGAGGAGGGGGAAAATGTTACTTCTATGGGATAGGAGAGCACAAAAACGAGGGTAAACAGAATCTCCTCATGTGTAAGGTTAAAACTTTCTAGACATTTAGACAACACATAACCATGATATCTGTATATCGTCTGGCACTCATAATGATAAATGCATCAGTTTTTGCAAACTCACCTTGTCACCACTCACTGAACCTCACTTTGTACTCACCTTGTCACCTCTCCCTGTACCTTTGTACTCACCTTGTCACCTTTCCCTTAACCTCACTTTGTACTCACATTGTCATCTTTCCCTGAACCTTTGTACTCACCTTGTCACCTCTCCCTGAACCTTACTTTGTACTCACCTTGTCACCTCTCCTTGTACCTTTATACTCACCTTGTCACCTCTCCCTGAACCTTACTTTGTACTCACCTTGTCACCTCTCCCTGTACCTTATGTTATACTCACCTTGTCACCTCTCCCTAAATCTTACTTTGTACTCACCTTGTCACCTCTCCCTGTACCTTATGTTATACTCACCTTGTCACCTCTCCCTAAATCTTACTTTGTACTCACCTTGTCACCTCTCCCTGTACCTTATGTTATACTCACCTTGTCACCTCTCCCTAAATCTTACTTTGTACTCACCTTGTCACCTCTCCCTGTACCTTATGTTATACTCACCTTGTCACCTCTCCCTAAATCTTACTTTGTACTCACCTTGTCACCTCTCCCTGTACCTGTGTACTCACCTTGTCGCCTCTCTCTGTACCTTTGTACTCACCTTGTCACCTCTCTTTGTACTCTTCAGACAATTTTAAATGACTGTCTTTTGTACATACCTTTTCGATCAGTTCCAGGAAGTGCATTTTGTAACTGTATGTATAAAAAACATCACAGAATGCTTTCATAAACCACATTTGTTCATTTTCTGCAGTCCATGGTCCGTTTTGACCTGAAAATATTATAAAGCTATGTTGATTTATATTATTTCAGTTGGTAATTTCTATATGTAAATTTCAATTTGATTTGCCATTAGCTACTTAAACTAGATGCCAAGCTTGGATTGAGCTATGCTGAAACTATTGCTGATTCATATTGCACAAATTGTTGTTTTACTAAACAGCTAAAGGGGCATAACTCAACTAAAAGGGTAGAAAATTGCATGAAAAGGGGTTGTGTACATTTTCATGTTATACTTATGATATCTGTCAAAAGTAAAGAACAAGCAGAGATTGCTCAAGAAACCATTTTATTTTAGATGGGGTCAAAGGTCAAAATGTTGATTACACTGAGCTATGTTTAAACATGTTTTATCTACATTTTTAAAATCTGCTTCAGCTGAAAATATTCAGACCCAGACATGCCAAAATAGATGGACAATCCAAATATCATACTATCAGTTCATGAATCTATTGTAAATGGTGATCATTTCAAAGTGATACAAACCGAAAAAATTTACTACAATCACCCGATTCTTTAAATGACAAAATTATGTTCAAACTCACCATGGTGAACGTGTAACACAAAAACGTTGTCCTCGTTGATTGAAGAAGGGTCAAGGCCAGCATCTATGACGGTTCTTCCTTCTGGTGGTTCTTCAACTGAATTTAATTCCGATAAGAAAACGTTATACAGAGTTATTTTAGCTCTCCCTGCACCAAGCTAATATAACAATGACAAATTGTCTCCCCTCAACCATTACTATTATGTCAAACGAGTGATCATCATTGTGATGAATTGTCTCCCCTTAAAGACAACAATAACGTGAAATGAGTTTTTCAACATGCTGACAAATTGTCTCCCCGTCAACATTGAAAATTATGTCAAATGGGTTATTATCATAACGATATATTGTTTCCACTTGACAAGTAAAATGATGTCAAATAAATCAAGATGAATTGCCTTCCCTTCAAAATTACAATTATGTCAAATGAGATATTATTTTAGTGTAGAATTTTCTCCCCTGTAACACAATGATTATGTCAAATGAGTTTTCAATTAAAAGATAAAATGTCTCCCCTTAAAAATAACAATCATGTCAAATGAGTCTTCAACATAAAATGAATCGTCTCCCCTTGAAAATAACAATTATGTCAAATGAGTGTTTAACATACTGACAAATTGTCTCCCTTTGAAAATAACGATTATGTCAAATGAGTTTTCACCATAAAGATGAATTGTCTCCCCTTGAAAATAACAATTATTTCAAAATGAGTGTTCAACATACTGACAAATTGTCTCCCCTGAAACATTACAATTATATCAAGTGAGTTTTCAACATAAGATTAATTGTCTCCCCTTAAACATGACAATTAAGTCAAATGTGTTATCGACATGAAAACATAAAGAGGCTTTGAAAGCTGTTGGTTGTCACTGTTGTATCTATAAAATTTAAGTTAATTTATTGTATCTTTTAAATCAAAATTAAAGGGGAATGAGATAAATAAGATTGGAAATCTAATACATTAAAGAATCTTTAACAAAGAACTGTTTTCTCAACATTTTGAAGGTGATTAATGGTTTTTATTCAATAATCATATGAAGGGTTACCTCTGAATGGAGATAGGCCTATCTTATCTTACATATGTTAATATATATATTGAGAATATTTTTGTGAGTTCATTTGAATTATGAAATTATTTGAGAGTTTGGTTAACTAGACTGTTTAATTCTAATTTTGATCACAACAGTATTACCTGTTACACTTTGATCAGGAATGGTGATTACGATGAAAATCTTGGGTTTATCCTTTAGAGCCTCGCAGTCTGTCACTTCCTTGATTATATCTTGTAAAATCACACTACAATTTGCTTTATCAAAGATTTGACCGTATCTCTCTCCCTGGGCTCCGTACGAGAGGAAAAACATCATAAAAAAACCAGCATTCTCAAGGCCCTCTCTGCAGTCACTGATGATTTCTCTAACGTTTTCTTTATACTCCTAGAAGATAGAAAAAATACGAAATAATAATTTTCACAAACAGCAAAATGATAAGCAAACATTGTTGATTGAAAATGTAGTATGTATATATATATTAACATAAATTATAAAAAACTGAAGAATAAAGAGCAAACATCAGTCTCAAGTAGGTGGGTCGATCAGTGGGGTGCTGTGTGTTGAGTACGAATACCAGTGGATATGCAGGATGAAATAGTGTATAAAAGTAAATCAACGTAGTTTCAATCACAATATACCCAAGCGCCACCTGTTAAGTTAGATAATTTATTGGCCGACTGGGTTTGCCTCTATAAGCGAGGCTTCACCAGGACAATGTTTCATCAATTTTTCACCCCTGAATACAAAAAATGGGGCTTGCTTTTTACATTATCACATAAGATGTACATTGTATAAAGGGCTGATAAGCCTTACTGTTACGTTAATCGTTATGTTATTTCAAGGGCAGATAAACCCTTACGTACTGGTTAACAGTCAGTGACATGCATGTAATATTTACTGAAAAAACTAATTAAAATAATTAAATTAGCACAGTCTTGTTTCTCATCCAAGCACAGAGTGCTGGTGGATGCTGACCTAGAGTGACAAGGTCATATAGGCTAGAATTCTATAGTTAACATCGGAAGATCGGATGATTCAGCAACTTGACTGTTAGTCTATATAGCTACCACAGAATTCAAAATATACTCACATCAGCTGTCTTGTTAAACAGCTTTGAAGAACACAACCCAGTTCTAATGGGCGTGTTTAAAAAATTCATTAACTTGTCAAGGCACATATTACACAAATCAAAAGCCTTTAGCGTCACTTTACAACGTTGTGATTGGCATTTCATCCGCAAGACAAAACCTTTCTTACGAAAATTTGTGATTCTGTACACCTACAAAACACAAAATGTATATACAGTGAAACCCCACCTAATGTATATCTTATTATTACAAACATGCACACTCTCTAATAATGAGTTCCTGTTTCATTCCTGTTATTTCTCTGTCTCAATTTCTGCATTTTTCACCTCATAATACAATCTACCAGAGATTCCATATTATGACCAATTTTGGCAGTCACAAAGACCAATAATTAAAGAAAAATGACCCCATGATTGCAGGTAGTCACCAATGCCGAAAAAATGTACAGTCAAACTTCGATAATTCGATATTCAAGGGACCGAATTTTGATAGAATCAATTTCTAATTCAAATGATGATCATCTTAACTATTTTCAGCCCATTTAGATAGAATTATAATCAACACATATCAATATCATATGGTCGCATCTTTACATTCTATCATCTAAACTGTTATGACATTTGACCTCTTGCACATCAAATATAAATTTCATTTCAGTAATAATTACCATAGCTTTATGGAGTATACTAAAGTTATGGTAAGTATTACATCATGAAAATTGGTTGACCATGAAAAACCTCAACTAAATACTGTTTACAGCTATTGATTATACTTGATGAGCTGGATTAAACCATAAATGGGGTCTGACAGCAAGAAGAAAACAGGGTACTGGGAGTCTTAGACTGAAACACCAAGTGTTTAAACAAACAAAATAACCTATGCATGTTTCTACCCATATATGTATGTAACCATGTTTAAATATCAATTATTTAACACCATGCATCATATATAGCCATGTATGTTGTTCCTATGGTTTCTAGATTTGAATTTCCTGTCAAAATTGTTCCCATGATTAATATAAATCCTATGTACAATTGGTATCAATATGTATATATATATAGTGATTCAGGTGTTCATATCACATAATAGACAAATAGCCACTGTGATTACATCATCATCATCATCATCATCATCGTCATCATCATCATCATCATCATCGTCATCATAATCATCATCATCATCATCATCATCATCATCATAATCTTCATCATCATCATCATCATCATCATCATCTTCATCATCATCCTTAACATCTTAAAAATCTTCATCATCATCATCATCATCATCATCATCATCATCATCATCATCATCATCATTAACATCTTAAAAATAATCTTCATCAACACCATCATCATCATCAAAATCTTAAAAATCATCATAATCATCATCTTTCACTTGAATGATATAGAAGTCAACAGGGAGAACTTACAGTTTCATCATACATGAGATGTCTCTCCTCTCCTGTGCATTCTCTTGGAATACATGCTTTTGATGAAAATGGCCATCTTTTAACTGTAAAGTATGTAAAAAGCACTGAACTTTAGAGATCTGTATCATAGGTGTATTTACCAAAGTGATAAATTTTAAAATTACTTACAAGAGTTAGTGCAACAAAGGGTGGTAACTAACATTAAATCACTTTTACGTAAGGATGCTTCAGACCAAATTTAAGTGTAAAACTTTTTATCTATATCAAAAGAAAATAATCCTGAAGTTTTTCCTCTATTTTCCATATGGGGATTTTTTTGAATGGGGGCTGGTGGGTTGTTAATGGGAGACAGAGATGTTCTTCACCAAAGCACTGAAGCATTCTCTAGATATACTGAGACAGAAGAAATGACTTCAACAAAGGATTCTCCAGATAAAAGTTGGTAAACCTATTTGTCAGTGCAAAATGAAAACAATTTTGTCTTTTATCTCAGCTGGTTTGTTATTAGTATTATTTGGGAATCATGTTTTTACGAAAGCCAAGGTCATATAAGGGTCAGAGTTCAACAGGCAGGCAGTGAGATAATAGATTTTCTTTGCCTTGCACATGTTTGTTGGTCTACTCTGGGTAAGGTTTGTGGTTGGAGGGCGGGAAGGTTGGGGGAGGTTGTGGTGGTGGTGGTCCACGACTACTGTTTTTATAATAAAGATTCTCTATGTTTGCTCCATATAAAATCTGGTCTTTTGCAAAGATGTTAATGTGACTAGACACATATTCTAACAACAAAAAAAACTGTTCGTTATACAATTAAAAGATTTATAGACAGGTATTGCATCTCAACAGAAACTGATGAGGGACTTGCCAGGAAAACTTAGATAACAAGACGTCCCAGAGGGATCTTTGCACCCACCATTGTTTAATCTTTAGTCTGTTGAAAGTTGGATATTTTCCTGTCTTTTTTGCTCTTAATGATAGGAGGAATTTGAACATTCCTTTGCAGAAATAGCTATGATAATCTTTATCTGCCAAATCCAAAATGGTCACCTAGAAGCCATTTTGTTTCTTCTGATCAGTCCCAAAATCAAACCAGCACAAGTATATACCAAAGGCAACATGTGTGAAGTTTCAGAGAATTGCAATGAGTACTTCTTCAGAAATCAGATAACAATCTTTACTAAGCAAAATCCAAGATAGCTGCCTGTCTGCAATTTGGTTCTTCTGATCAGTCCCAAAATCAAATAGGCACAACTAGGGATTATAGGAAACCTACATATGAAATTTAAGAAAGAACCATCCAGTACTTCTTAAGAAAAAGCAATAACAAACCTGCAAAGTCAAAATCCAAGATGGCCACCTGTCTGCCAATTTATTTTTCTGATCAGTCCCAAAATTGAATGAGCACAACCAGAGACAAAGGGGAGCCGACATAGGAAATTCTGAGAAAAATTCATCCTGTACTTCTCAAGAAATATCAATAACAAACTTGCAAAATCAAAGTAAAAGATAGCCACCTGTCGGCCATTTTGTTCTTCTGATCAGTCCCAAAATTCCATGGATAACACTAGAAACCAAGGGGAACCTACATAGGAAGTTTAACAGACATCTATCAGGTACTTTTCAAGACATAGCAGCAACAAACTTCTTTGAAAAAATCCAAGATGGCCACCTGTTGGTCATTTCATTTTTCTGATCAGTCCCAAAATTACATGGATGTAACTAGTGACAACCTACCTGTAAAATTTTGAGAAAGATCCCCCCACTACTTCTCAAGAAATAGTGATAAAGGAAATTGTTTACGGACGGATGGAGCTCAGACATTGGGCGATTTGAACAGCCCACCATCATCATAGGCTAAAACCGAATGTGTGGCAGATTTTAACTGTACATAGGATAATAGTTGTGCTAGAGGGAATTTCCCTTTTGTTCAGTGGTAGAGCATCTGACTAGAGACGTGAAGGTCATGGGTTTGATTCCAGATGGAAGCACAATGTTCTCCTTCCTGTTATAGATGTTGACCATGGCCCTTCCTGTAGTGACAGGGAGTTAGAAATTGGGTTGATCTTGTGTTTGATGGCAAACACATTTAAAGAGGGATTTCTTTGGTAGTTTTTAACTGTACATAAGATAATGGTTGACTTTTAGCTTAAAGCTAGAGGGGATTTCCCTTCACTTCAGTGGCAGAGGATCTGAGGTCGCGGGTTCAATCCCAGGGGGAAGCACACTGTTCTCTTTCCTGCTTCGAATCGTATAAGCATGTATCCAGACTAGGTTAATGACCGTACATGAATATAAGAAAGGAAAGCTAATATATTATTGTCTAACAGTTCTATAGAATAGACAAATCTCTACACTGGCTCATATAACTCATACAGATCATAGTTCTTTTGTTTAATACGTGAATGTCAGCAATGTACAAAATGGAAGCACTTGGTTTATAATTAATCAGACAAGAAAAATCTACAGTTTGAGAAATTTTCTGAAGAACCATCCTCCTGCTAAGTTCATTATGAGTGTTGAGGTTCATCTTTTAGCCCTCAGGAGGATATTTAGTCATACATATAGTTGGTGTTCCCTTTTATTCATTTTTCAGTTACTTAGTACCAAAGCTTAACTTAAATTTTTTTTGTGTGTTTCCCATTAAGTACAAAACAAGTTGTCAGCTACAATATCCTATTAATCACTGTTGTTGGCCTGTATTGAAGGGTGTGGTCTTATCATGGACGTGAAGTGAAGTGCCCAAAGAAATCTCATATGGTCTTGTGACTAAAAACTTTTTCACATTTGTCGAGGAAGCCTTGGTGAACAGTTTAGAGATTACCAGTGTACCAATTCTACACTATTGAATTAAAAAAAAACAACATTGAAATGAAAGAAAAACTGTTGCTGAGAAAGCACAACTTCATGTTGTACAAATTGTCCAACTTTGAGAGCAAAATTGGTTGAAAATTGAAAAAAGGGATTTCCAGATAAGAGTGAAAATCTGGAAAGAACAAAGGGCAATAACTCTTCAAAAATTGTTGAATGTAAATCTTATTCAGAAAAAGAAAATAGATAAATAAGAATCATGACAAAGTTATGAAGCCCTTTATAAAACAGGTTCCATTCTGAAGTTATTGGTTGAAAAATGAGTATGGTAATTTCCACACTATGAAAAAACCTATTTCTTATGCTATTATTTTGGACAGACATTAAATATTTTCAATATTGTAAGTAATGTGTTCATTTGAACAGAACAAAAACCAAAATTAGAGTGCCTCCAAAATGTAAAAACTTGCTTACACAAATCCTCGTCAGATTGGTCATTTGACGGCCGGGCCTGGTTGTGTGATGGCCGGGCCTGGTTGTCTGATGGCTGAATCTGGTTTTGTGATGGCTGGGCCTGGTTGTCTGATGGCCGGACCTGGTTGTCTGATGGCTGGACCTGGTTTTGTGATGGCTGGGCCTGGTTGTCTGATGGCCGGGCCTGGTTGTCTGATGGCTGAACCGAGTTACTGGTTGGTTGAGGTTGAGGTAATTCAGTTACAACATCTGGTTTCATAAGTTGGTCTGCCAAATATGTATTACCACTCCTCTTCAAGGCCAGAATAAAGTTGTTGTAGGCATGCACACCTCTAAACTTCAACAGGTATAAAAGCTCTTTTGTCTGTTCCTTTGGTGCTGGCTTTTTCAACTTTGAAAAAAATAAGAATTGAACAATAATTGAATGAGCAATACAATTTATGGAATTTAATGTAACATTACAATTACTTAACTTGATAGACAAGTACAACTTGTAACATTACAATTGCCTAACTTGATGACAAGTACAACTTGTAACATTACAATTGCCTAACTTGATGATAAGTACAACTTGTAACATTACAATTGCCTAACTTGATGACAAGTACAACTTGTAACATTACAATTGCCTAACTTGATAGACAAGTACAACTTGTAACATTACAATTGCCTAACTTGATAGACAAATACAACTTGTAACATTACAATTGCCTAACTTGATAGACAAGGACAACTTGTAACATCACATTTACTTACAATGTTAATAAACATTACAATTGCCTAACTTGATTTTTATTTAGACAAAGTACAGGAATTGATATAATGGTATAGACTAGGGTGGTAAAATTATCAAAATTTAAATATTTCATTTATAAAATACAAATTGATTATCTATACTGAAATGATAGTTAACAATATTTTACAAAATTCCATTTGATATTGTAATTAGGGAGGTACACATGTAAAATGTTAACTGTATTATATAGATACCGTATTTTACCGCAAATAAGCCCCCACACCCAGTTCAAAAAAGACTGTCAAAAGAGGGGAGTAGGTAGTATTTTGTTAAGATACTATACTTATACAGTGTAGTCGATATAAGATTGTATATGTAGTCAATCTCTTTATCCAAACACATTCTACATAATGAAAAAAAAACAACCCAATCCCCATTCCAAAAATAAATAAATGATCGAAGTAAAAATTGATCCTGTGATTGGGAAAAGGAATTAATGCAAAAGTCCCAAATCTATTGATTTTTCTCTTATGAAAAAGCAATTTAATTAATTTACCAAAATCTTATCCACATCATTTTCTTCAAAGACTCCCAGGGATAGCAATTCATCACAAACAGCCTCAGCATCTGCAACATTGTTGACAATGAGCCTAAAATTTTGGCGCAATTCTTCTTTGTGTTTCGGTTCCATTGTCTAATCCAGCTTTGCCATTAATCTGAAAATTTAAGTCAATTATGTTAAATATTTTTATATATTATGCTTAAAAAGAAAAACCAAAAGTTAAATTATGAATAAAGTTTGCATTATTAAACACACCCACACAAAAATCAGTTGACGTGAGAAAAGCACTGCAACCAGATATCAGGTAAATCAACATCAGTACTTTAATATATATAAATATAAACTTTATTTGTTTTACAACAATTGCGAAACAAGTTATTTAAACTTATACTAATCACTCTTGTTGGCCCGGATGTAAGCGCGCGAGGGGCCTTATTGTGGGAGGAAACCGGAGTACCCGGGGAAAACCCACGCGGTCGGACAGGTGACCCCTTACCTTTTCACGTCCGTTCCGGGAATCGAACCCCGGTCGGCTAGGTGAAAGGCGAGTGCGTTAACACTGCGCCACCCGACCACTTTAATATACATTGTAAGGAAACTGGGAATCATCTCAAATACTCATCCTGATATCAACACTGGTACCGACTTGCTAGTCCAAAAGGTTCTCACTACCATCTGTGATTTCATTTTAGTTCTGGTATCAACTGGGACCAAGACAAAAACAAAATTAGGATAGATAGCTAGAACCATTCCGATGATTTGTTTGCTCCATCATTAAATTCTTCAACCCTAAAAATGCACAAAAATCCTGCCTATTGGTACGTAACACTGAAGGAGACAATATAATACTATAAAATGACCTGACCAGGAAATTAAACTGCACTGTAAAATACCTCATGACAATGAGGAATGATAACCAGATTTACAGTTCTATTCTCTATGCCTCCTGTCCCCTTCTCTCCTTTCACTTGTATCTGAAGTACTTTTATTCTTCTATCAATGTATTACATGTGTAACAGAAACGAATAATGAAAAACACCCTGCCACCACTGGGGTTCAAACTAGCAACCCTTTGGTCTCTAGCCAAACAGTCTACCAATCGACTAAAGGAAAATTTCCACTAGCTGATGCCAGTAGAGCGACCGGTGCTCTCAACTTCTACACATGAATCTTCAACTAGCACACTGAAAACAAGCATATGTTCATACTAGAATTAATGTTACCAAATCCACCAATAGAAGCCAATGAGCTTTACCTGGGTGTGGACAATTCGATGTGGATTATGAAACATAGTACTTTAATCATGGTAAAATACTAGCCGCAATATACCACTCAGCTAGGGGGAAGTTCTCTTAAGCTTGATTGGTTGAGCATCAGACTAGTAAGCCAGGGGTCCCGGGTACGATTCCTAGCAGAGCACTGTCATTGAAAATGACCTCCGTTACAGTACTATTTACTCTATTCAATACCATCAGAGCAAGTTTCTCCATCCTGATGTCATCACCTTAAAAAAAGCTGTCAAACACATCGGAACTGAAACAAATCTGACAGTATGTTATATACGTCTCTGCTACCACATGCACACGAAACACTCACAGGAGGTATAACCATTAGACTTCATACATCTAAAAAGGTTCACGAGGGAGAAAATACAATAGCTGTAGCCACGAAACGGAGTCCTAGACCCGATCACCAGCGCAACCTATGGTCGATAATGGCCGATCTACTCGAAATCAAGTCCTTTTAAACCCATATTATAAACGCAGTGATAAAACTTCCGTATGTGTATAGTAACAAATGTATTTATAAGTCTCTGCTCAAAGAATATATCCGACAAAATACTTACATATAAAAGAATGTGTTATATCGCGTTTTTTCCACTTTTGTGTTAGTCCTGAAACGAAAGTAGATAGGGGATTTTATATATTTTCCCGGAAGTTATAAATAATCTACTATATGTCAATCGGATATTTCCGGATCTTTTCGGCAAAAGCTATGCTATTGTAAGAGTTAGTTCCCTTCATCTAATCACGAAAAGTATGTTTTGATAAATACAGGACAATTATATTAGAGACACACACATATATATAGATTAGTTCTTATTAAAACATAATTCAATGATAAGCAGTCATTAAAATGAGCATACAATATCGACTTATTAATTAATTTGATTGATAAATTATCACACAATTAATATTTGATATATTAAGTGGGCGGGGTTCAATATTCTATGCTCATTTTACAAATGGATGCTGATAATTGAATTCTTCCTTATTAAGAACTAATCTATTCTGTTATGATGTGAGTAATTTATTGGTACGATAAACGATTCCATTATTGTCACTTTGTCACTTATCGATGTGATTTACGTAAGTGTTAAAATCATTGTGTTATGTAAATGCATAACTCTCTACAGAAAATGTGAGAAAATTTCACGTGATGTGATCTTGAATAGCAATAATGTTGTGAAACATAAAAACATTAATGGTTATGATATAATCAACACAACACCGTGTAATCAATTCGAC